CTCCTCCTCGTCTTCTCCTCCTCCTCCTTTCGTCATCATCATCTTCTTCTTCTTCTTCCCCTCCTCCTCCTCCTTTTCTCCTCCTCCTCCTTTTCTCCTCCTCCTCCCCCTCCTCCTCCTCCTCTTCTTTGTCTTCTTCTCGCCATCTTCCTGTACTGAGTCTACTCCTCCCCATCTTCTTCTCCCTCTCCTCCTCGCCGTTTTCCCCGTTATGTTCGTTGTCGCGCGCGGTTGCCACATCAGCACGCGCGACCTTTCGTCAAGCGGAGAACATGGCGAGGAAGAGGAGAGGGAGAAGATGAGGACTCATTGAGGAGGACAAGAAGAAGAAGAAAAAGAGGAGGAGAAGAAGATGAGGAGGAGAGGAAGAAGATGAGGAGGAGGAGGAGGAAGAAGAAGAAGAAGAGAAGGAGGAGGAGGAGGAGAAGAAGAAAAAAAAAAGATGACGAAAGGAGGAGGAAGATGAGGAAGAGAAGGCGGAGATGAAGAAGAAGAAGACGAGCAGAAGAAGAAGATGGCGAGAACAAAAAGAAGAAGAAGAGGAGGAGGAGGAGAAGAAAAAGAAAAAAGGATGACGAAAGGAGGAGGAAGATGAGGAAGAGGAGGAGGAGATGAAGAAGAAGAAGACGAGGAGAAAAAGAAGAAAACGAGGAGAAGAAGAAGATGGCGAGAAGAAGAAGAAGAAGAAGAATAGGAGGAGGAGAAGAAAAGGAGGAGGAGGAGGAGAAGAAAAAGAAAAAAAGATGACGAAAGGAGGAGGAAGATGAGGAAGAGGAGGAAGGGATGAAGAAGAAGACGAGGAGGGGAAGAAGGAGATGGCTTCTTCGTCGCCATCTTCTTCTTCTCCTCTTCGTCTTCTTCTTCATCCCCTCCTCTTCTTCCTCATCTTCCTCCTCCTTTCGTCATCTTCTTTTTCTTTTTCTTCTCCTCCTCCTGTTCTTCTTCTTCTTCTTCTTCTCGCCATCTTTCTTCTTCCTCTCCTCCTCTTGTTGTTGTACTTCTTCTTCTTTTCTCCTCGTCCTCCGTCTCCTCTTCTTCTCATTCATCTCTCCTTGTCCTTCTCCCTTCTTGTACTCCTTCATTTTCTTCCCTCCTCCTCCTCATCCTCCATCTCTTCTTCTTCTTCTTGCTCTTCCTCCTGTCGTTGTCCTCCATTTTTTTTTTTTTTTATTTTTTTTTTTTTTTTTTTTTTTACATATTTCCGTTTCTCATACCAGTGCACAGCGTCGTGCATGCGCAGGACCGCAGCTGCCACGACCGCCGGAGGATGTGTAGCTGCCACGTCAAGAATAGCGACATCAGCAGGTCCCTCGACAGCAGGTGACACAACAGCCGCCACGTCAGCAGACAAGGCCTCAGCAGACAAGGCCGCCACGTAAGCAGGTGACACAGCAGCTGCCACGTTAGCAGGCAAGGCCTCAACAGACAAGGCCGCCACGTCAGCGACCTCCACGTCAGCAGCTGCCACGTCAGCAGGTGACAAAACAGCTCCCACGTCAGTAGGTGACACAGCAGCTGCCACGTGAGAAGGTGCCACATCAACACTTCCCATGGTAGCAGCCCCACGATCGTGTCCACCACATCGCCGCCCACCGCGTCTGCTGTTGGGTGACATGGCAGATGAGCAGCAGCAGGAGCCGTTCGAGGAGGACATGACCTGCCCAAGGGACCACGTGGTGTGGAGTTGGGTGACTCCTGGGCAGATGCTGCCGGGCAATTCTCACGGGTCGAGAAGGCTGCGCTGCAAGATCTGCAATAAGGAGTACAAAGGGAACCGGAAGCGTGCGTGGGAACACTTCATTCTGGCGAGGGCATCAGCCAGGTGTTCGGGTTCGAACCTCTCCATTTGGAAGAGGCTGCATCGCATCGGTGCGCAGCTGCCACCGGATTTGCTCGCGAGGGTGCAGATGGCGCTGGAGCAGGAGAGGGATGACGACGACGACGACGTTCCCGACGTGGCAGGTGCTAGGCCTGCTGGTGAAAGGGGGGGAGGTGGGATTGTTGATCAGCATGAGGAGTCACGGGGTGGGGAGGGCGAGGAGGGATTGGATGAGGGGATGAGGGGTGTTGTGACAGGAGGATCCGACGGTGGAGGGAGGCCTGGGTCCTCGCAGGCTGTCATGCAGGTCGCCCGCACACGCAGGCCAGGGAGGCAGACGAGCATCAAGAGGTACGCGAAGAACCCAAGGCAGGAGGAGATTGATGACTCCTACTGCAAGTTCTTCGTGGAGAACTCGATCCCGTTCAACGCCGCCAAGAGCAGGAGCTTCAAGAAGTTCACGCGGGCGTGTTACGGACAACAACCTGCAGCGAGCCACCCTCTTGTGCCTACTGGGTACAACCCTCTCAGGTGTCGGTTGCTGGATCGCCTTAACAAGAGGTTGCAGGAGGAGGAACAGGCGATCCGTGACGATTGGCAGGTCACAGGCTGCACGTTCATAACCGATGGGACTACAGACATATGTGGTCGATCGCTTATGAACTACATCCTCGCAGGCCGGTCGAAGCCTATTTTCATCAACTCGAGGATGTTAGCGAGGGGGACAAGGACTCCGCAGCCGTCGTTGCCGGATGGAAGTGGTTCTTCAGGGAGTGGGGGGTGGAGAAGATCACGGCTGTCTGCACGGACTCTTTTGCGGGCAACACGAGTGCTGCGAGGATGCTGAGGGAGGACCCTGAATTCAGCCAGATATATTCGATCCCTTGCACTGCTCACTGCATGGACCTTCTCATGCACGACATTTGCAAGAAGGAGTGGGCGACCGAGATCATCAGTAAGGTGAACAAAGTGGTCAACTTCTTCCGGGTTCACAGGTGGCCCAGATCAATGCTGAGAACGACACTTCTGAAGCTCCCGGACTTGAAATGCAGTTGCCTCCTCCGACCGGCATAGACGAGGTTTGGGACGCACTACGTGATGCTGCAGCGGTTGGAGGTCTGCGAGAAGGCCATTAGACGGATTGTCGCAGGGTAGGAGTGGGAGGCGCAGGTGTGGCGAGGGGACATCAGGGCCAAGGCCTTCTTCGTGGAGGAAACAGTTCTTGACAGGGCCTTCTGGGCTGACGTCAGGAAGCTGACTTCCGTCATGAAGGGGCCCTATGACGTGTGGCGCGAGGTGGACAAAGATGTCCACTGCTTGTCGTGCATTTACGATATGGTTTGTCGACTGCCCGACTTCGTCCGATCAGCCCCCCTTACCGCAGAGCAGCGAGACGACATGCTCAGGGACGTCGGGAACAGGACAGACCTGCTGCTTAGCCCCATCCACGCTGTTGCTCGCCTGTTGGATCCTCAGTTGAGGGACATTACTATATTCAGTGATGTCAACCTCATGACATAATTTAAGACTCTTGAGAGAGTGGTCGAGAGGCGCATTGGAAAGAAGGGAAGCACCAAATTCGACTAGTGCATGGACCAACTTTACGACTTCCAGTTCGGGAGAGGAGTCCTCGGCACCCCACAGGCGAAGAGACGGGTTACGAAGGACAATGCGGTTTTGTGGTGGGAGGCGCACGGGGTGGGGCATCCGGAGATCCGCGAGCTGGCAATCAGGGTGCTGTCGATCTGAACGACTTCCTCTCCTGCTGAGAGGAACTGGAGCACTTGGGCTCTGGTGCAGACGAAGTGCAGGAACAAGTTGCACCACCAGCGCACCAACAAATTGGTGTCCTCGGAGCTTGAGGCTCAAGAGCAAGGGGGATGAGGGGCCCACGATAGCGGGAGGGTGGTTGGGGCTCGCAGCTGACTGGGAGGACGAGGACCTGGGGGGTGATTTGGCGAATGTCATCGAGGCCGTTGATGACTACGGGCCTGCTGTTGGGGGCGCCAGTTCTGCGGTGGGCAGCACTACTGTTCGCTACGATCCAGCTGGGCCATCGACATCGAGGTCCATGCAGAGATTAGGGCATGCGGAGGAGGTCGAGGAGGAGGAGGACAACGAGGAGGCTGACGCCGAGGATGAGGAGGAGGAGGAGGAGGAGGTGGAGGATGACATTCCCAGCGAGGAGTGGGTGGACGAGAGGTCGGACTCCGACAGGTCTTGGACGAGGAGAGAGGACGCCCCGTATGTTCGAGGCACACGATTTGGACTGTGATCCCAGACTCAGCCGCGTGGGGAGGAGCAGCAGGTGGAGGATCAACAGCCGGATGAGCAGCAGGTGGAGGAGCAGCAGGTGGAGGAGCAGCAGCTGGAGGAGCAGCAGGTGGAGGAGCAGCAGGGGGAGGAGGCGTAGGGAGAGGAGCAGCAGGTGGAGGAAGAGGGGGAGGAGGAGCGACAGGTGGAGGAGCACACAGAGGGCATGCAACAGGGGGAGGAGCAGCAGGTGTTGGAGCACGAGAAGGAGCAGCAGGTGGAGGAGCATCTAGTGGTGGAGCAACAGGTGGAGGAGCAGTAGGTGGGGGAGTAGCAGGTGGGGGAGCAGCAGGTGGAGGAGCGCGGGGACGGCGTGCAGCATCTGAGCGAGGTGCGAGCGTTTTATGGTTCCACTCGGCAGTCGCCTCTAGTCGGGCAGCATGGAGCACATGATGACCGTGTATGGGATCCCCTCGCCTATCGTGCTCAGCGAGGCAGAGGGAGGTCCGCTTCCGCCGTGCGAGAGGAGGCACTGCACGGGCTGCACGAGGCACAGGGCCAGGGAGGTCCGCTTCAGGACATGGGAGAGGTCGGCCACGCAAGGACAAACAACCCGTTGCGGCACCAGCAACAGAAGAGTCGGATGACGACTCTAGGGAGAGTGCACCGCTGCACATGTCGAAGAGGAGGAGGACGGAGGCTGCTGCAGAGAGAGAGACACAGACGGAGAGAGATTGAGAGAGAGAGAGAGAGAGAGAGAGAGAGAGAGAGAGAGAGAGAGAGAGAGAGAGAGAGAGAGGACTCGTTGTCTTTCACTTTCCGGACCACTATGCTCGCCGGCGTTGCCACTGGTCTTTAACTGACGCCCTGAAAAGCTGCTTTGAAGTGCTTTCGGATTCTATTTTGTTTATGTGCTTCCCTCTCCTGC